CCCCAAAACCCCAAAACCCCAAAACCCCAAAACCCCAAAACCCCAAAACCCCACTGGGAATTATAAAAATTGAACAATATGGAGTTTTGTGAAGAGTAGGTTTTAAGGGGTTATGTGTAGAGAAAAGTTCTTGTGGGAACTTGAACAGGATGAACAGGTCAGTGAGACTGGATTAGAGGGGTAGGGGTGGGGTAGGAAGGGGAGATAGGGAGAGAATGGGGGTGGAAAGAGGGAGGATGGAGCCTAAGAGTTGTTTTAGGGGCTTTTGAGGGTAAAGAGGGTCTGATGGATGAAAAGGATTTTTTTTGGATTTTGGAGTTTTTACAAGTTTTAGGACATGGTAGACAATAAGAATGCAAATATGACAAAATAAAGTCAAAAAAATTAGAGACAGCTTTAAGACAAGTACGTTATATCATTCAAAATCTAAATATATCTTATTCTCTTATAACCTAATTAATAACTGTCTAGAGCGTTCAAAGCGATACACTAACCCTAAAACTAGAATTTCTCGGCTAAAATTGATCCCTGAATCACCAAAGAAACAAAAGAAGTATTTTTAAAATTAATTTATAGGCTTTCCTTAAAGAAGAAGGCATCTCTTGAAGCTAGATGAAGATATTTCATGCTTAAATAAGTACATTTGTACACCTTTCACACATTGGAGGACCCTATATATCTATAAAACTAAATACCAACCTCAGAAGCTCCATTGGCATCTCATGAATCTCAAGTGAACTCTGGTGAGGCCAGCTTTTAATAAGATCAGAAAAGCATTTAAAGAAAGTAAGGGTCTAAGTTCTTAAAGAAATCTGAGATTAATAAATGAGTATAGACCCCACTCAAAATTCCCACATGAACCTAGACCTTGGTCTCTCGCTATCAAAGTAAGTCCTATCGGGAAGTGATTAACAAAGTACAGGATTGAAAACACTGAAGAGAACAGAGATGTTAAATCAGCTAGAAAGAAAACCAATATTAAACGTAAGTTCTAGATAATGTCTGTTATTTTCTTTCTAGAAGTAATTCCCATTATATGGCATATTTGGACCCTGCTAAAATTTAAAGCTCTGTTCTTTGTGGCCAGCCTTAATCTTCCGAATAGAGCTTCTGTCCCCACCGAAGACACCCAAAAGACCTCATGGGGTTCTTACTCGTAAAGAGATAAAGTCTGTTTTATCTGAATTCAAAAAGAAGAAGAAAGCTAAGCAGAGGTTACATTACTAACAGAAAAATAGCTATTACCTCATAAAGGATTCAATTTTTGAAATCTTCAGATTTGGGCTATAGAAGGGGTTTTGGGGTTTTGGGGTTTTGGGGTTTTGGGG